TATTGTAAGCGTGAACGATACGCCACTTGCCGTTCGGCTTCCGAACACAAAACGTGGGAGTCGAATGGGGGGACTCGCTCGGACGTACCATCCCTGCGTCGTGCTAAAGGATAATACGGTTCGAAGGGATATCATAGGATTGACAATCCACTTCGTGCGTTCAGCACTCTCGTGAAGTCCTCCAGGACAGCTTCATCCAGGAGCAATGACGAGTTTATCTCCTCATACGGTAGTTAAATGACCACTTTGGCCAAATCGCCTGCCTTCAAGGCACTGCCGAACTCCTAAAGGGACATCTCGTTCAGCTCAAAAAGAGCATCTACTGCAGGCATAGCCTTAAGGCGGACGTCGCCATCTTCCTCCCCCGTCATACCGTTGACGAGGGTGTATAATCGTGCGCCATTGTCTACGGTAGACACACCCTGGATCAGGGTTGACACTCGGTGTCTTGCAGCTAGCATACGGTGTCGCCGTCGTCTCTGTACAGAGGTTCTGTGTCTCGGTGAGACCAGGGTGAACACGCACTCCGCGTCGTCCGGTGTCACCGTCACTGTCCGCTCCTTTGGAGCTCCGATGTTATCTACAACATCCTGGCGAAGAGCTGCTAACCCGCAGTCTTCGTCCAGTGGATACCGTGCCACTCCACGCGCATCTGAAAAGCCATGCCCAAGATACCTCGGACTCTGTCCGACCACGCCATCAATGGCATGCAGCAACTGCTTCGCAACGAGAGCAGTGCTCAGTGGCTTACGTGCCACTTCACGTGCATCACGGGGGCCTCGCCCTCGATGCCTCGTCCCTTGGCAGACCATGTCACGCTATATGCAGCGACTGCTTCGATACTCGACCAGCGCTCAGTGTTTACGTGCCACTTCATGTCCATCACAGGGCCTCGCCCTCGATACCTCGGCCCTTGGCTGGTCATGTCACGCAAGACATGCAGCGACTGCTCCGAAACTTGGGCATCGCTCAGTGGGTTACGTGCCACTTCACGATCAGCCTGCGAGCCACGCTCGGGACTCCTATCCAATGCACCGCTGGAGTCTACCAGCTCGGACATTTTAATGTCTAGCACGTTGACCGTCTCGGTCCAGTGCTCTAGCCAATGGCGCTTTTGTCTCCTAGTAGAGGTGGGTTCATGAATCGCCAAAGCTCCACCAGAAGACGTGCGCGTTGAAGTCTTTGACCTCCAATCAATCCATGGATCATGGTGTTCCAACCATGCCATTCATAGGATGAGGTCATACCTTGCATCCTAATCTAAGACAGCGTTCCACGCTATCAAAGTCAAGGAACTTGACTCCGAGGTCTACAGGA